CTCCTCAGGCTAAACTAAATTTAAGTGCACACAAGTCTAAACCTCTGATCGCTCACGATCCTGGGGTTCAAGGTCTACTAGAAACATATTGACATGGATCAACAATTAAACCACACTAGCTATAATACTCTAATCTTAACTGAGTTCTCTCATGCATGCTTTACTAGTGAAATATTCCTATCGATCACCTAAGCTCGTAATCCATAATTTTTACTTCACCTTAGTCACATTTGAGAGCTTAAGAGATCTATTAGATTCCTGAGGTGGCTAGGTGGTTTAATGTGGACTTCTGGCTTCAGGCTGCTCTATTCTGACTCCTCGAGTCTTTCTCCTCGACCATCAGTCACAAACCTAAGGTGCTAAGTCTACTGAAGGCGTCTTTTAAATATTTTTGTGTATGTTTTAAATATAGTACTAATAGTAAGGATATTTTTTAAATTTTCAAAAAAAAGTTGAAGGATATTAATAAAACTTTTAAGTTGGTATTTTAAACAATACTCGACATTTTTAAAATACTATTGAAAGTTTTAGAGTATTTTTTAAATAAAGCAACCATTTTCATCTAAAACTAAGAGTTAGGGAATTTTTTTATCTTTTTGAAAGTTTAAAAGTATTGTTCAAACTTTTGAAAGATGAATGGTATTTTTTTAGACAAAGTGTGGCAACCTATGCCTAGGGTTCGGAGCCTAGATTTGACACCTAATGTCCTCGATATTTTCCACATCCTCTGTGACATCGTCACGTTACTCATTTTTCGCTTTTAAGAGGGAATATTATTCTCATAGACCAACACGAGTCCTTCCAACTGTTAAAGGTTACTTGTAGATACATGTATAAGTACATGGATGAGTATATACATGTAGATGGAGGTTCATTAGTTCATATTTAATTAGGTGCATGGTTTTGCTTTATACATGAATCATATTTAATTAGATGCATGGTTTTTTGGATCATGAATAGTATTCGAGAATGTCCCAAATTACTTATATATACATATGTTGGCATTACTAAAAATGGTAGAAAATCAATTTAGCATCCTTTTCTAGTAATATAAAAGTTCTCTCCTCCAAAAGCTCTACCAAATTTCTCTACTGTCAACAAGAACTGGTATCAAAGTGATCTTGGAGCAGCAAGAATGGCAATAGAGAAACAAGTTGATAACTTTTTTCAACCCGTTGTCCCAAAATTAAATGATCACTATGATCATTGGGCGATGGTTGATGAAAACTTTTCTCAGATCAAAGAAGTTCTTTGATATGATGGAAACGAGTTATGAAGAGCCAAGTGAAGGTGAGGTACTCTCAGTTGTTCAACAACAACAGTTGGCAACATCGAAGCTTAAGGACATGGAGGTCAAGAACTACTCATTCCAGTCCATTGATCGAACTATCTTGGAAACGATGCTTCAGAAGAAGACGCCCAAGGAGATTTCGGACTCAATGAAGAGGAAGTACCAAGGCTCAACGAGAGTAAAGCGTGCTCAACTTCAAGCAATTAGAAGAGACTTTGAAATTCTTCAAATGCAAAAAGAAGAAGCAGTCAATGATCATATTGGCAAGGTTATAAGTTTTGCAAATAAAATGAGAATGCATGGTGGTTCAATCACTGATGTCGCAATTGTAGAAAAGATTTAAGATCTCTAACTCTAAAGTTCAATTATATTCTATATTCTATTGAAGAAGCAAACAATGTCGAGGAGATGCAAATTGATGAACTTCAAAGCTCCTTGTCAGTGCATGAGCAGAAGCTTAATCGCACGAGTGTAATAAAGGAGATGACATCATTGCCTCTAACTAGATCTGATGACCTACCAACATCTCTACTTCTTTCTCGATCACCTCTTCCACGACCTATGCTTCATCCTCGCTTTCTACCTCTGGAGCTTGAAGCTTCCCCTGGTATGAATATCTTTAAGGTTGTCATCTCCTCTATTGCACTCGTGCGATTAAGTTTCTGCTCATGCACTAGCAGGAAGCTTTAGAGTTCATCAATTTGCATCTCCTCGACATTGTTTGCTTTTTTAATATAACATACAATATAATGAAACTTTGAAATTAGAGATCACAAAATCTTTTCTACAACTGCAACATCAATAATTAAATCACCATGCATCCTCACTTTATTTGCAAGACTCATAACCTTGTCGATGTAATCATTCATTGTTTCTCTCTTTTGCATTTGGAGAATTTCAAAGTCTTTTCTAATTGCTTGAAGTTGAGCACGTTTTACTCTCGTTGAGCCTTGGTACTTCCTCTTCATTGAGTCTCAAATCTCTTTGGACATCTTCTTCTGAAGCATCATTTCCAAAATACTCCGACCAATGTACTGGAATAAGTAGTTCTTGACCTTCAGGTCCTTCAACTTCGATGCTGCCAACCGTAGCGGTTGAACAGTTGAGAGTACCTTGCCTTCACTTGGCTCTTCATAACCCGTCTCCACCATATCAAAGAACTCCTTTGATCTAAGGAAATTTTCCATCAACATTGCCCAATGATCATAGTGACCATCAAATCTCGGGATAGCGAGTTGAACAAAGCTATCAATTTGTCTCTCTGCTGTCATTCTTGCTGCTCCAAGATCGCTATCACTATGATACCAGTTGTTAGTGACAGCAAAGAAATTTGGTAGAACTTTTGAAAGAAGAGAACTTTATATTACTAGAAAAATGATGCCAAATTGTTTTTCTACGTTTTCCACCAATGCCAACATATGTATATATGGATTGGGACATCTCTCGATATCATTCATGATCCAAAAACTATAAACCTAATTAAATAGGATTCATGTATAAATCAACACCATGCACCTCATTAAATATGATTCATGTATAAATCAAAACCATACACCTAATTAAAGATGATTCATGTATAAATCAAAATCATGCACCTAATTAAATATAAATTAATGAACCTCTACGTACATGTATATATGTGTATATACTCATACATATATACATGTACCTATACATGTATCTACAGGTAACCCTTCAACACCAACCTATTTTGTCCTCACTCACTTGCATTTTAAGAAAACTCTCAGTTCACCCAACATAGAATTGCTCCAAGCAAAACATGTTTATCATAAAATTCTTATGATTGAGTCATTAAAACCTAAGAAAACTCTCCGTTCATCCAATATAGAATTGCTCCAAGCAAAACATGTTTATCATAAAATTCTTATGATTGAGTCATTAAAACCTAAGAAAACTTTCAGTTCATCCAACATAGAATTGCTCCAAGCAAAACATGTTTATCATAAAATTCTTATGATTGAGTCATTAAAACCTAAGAAAACTCTCAGTTCATCCAACATAGAATTGCTCCAAGCAAAACATGTTTATCATAAAATTCTTATGATCGAGTCACTAAAACCTAAGAAAACTCTCACTTCACCCAACATAGAATTGCTCAAAGCAAAACATGCTTATCATGAAATTCTTATGATCGAGTCACTAAAACCTAAGAAAACTCTCACTTCACCCAACATAGAATTGCTCAAAGCAAAACATGCTTATCATGAAATTCTTATGATCGAGTCACTAAAACCTAAGAAAACTCTCATTTCACCCAACATAGAATTGCTCAAAACAAAACATGCTTATCATGAAATTCTTATGATTGAGTCACGAAACCTAAGAAAACTCTCAGTTCACCCAACATAGAATTGTTCAAAGCAAAACATGTTTATCATGAAATTCTTATGATTGAGTCACCAAAACCTAAGAAGACTCTCCGTTCACCCAACATAAAATTGTTCAAAGCAAAACATGCTTATCATAGAATTCTTATGATTGAATCACCAAAAAAGTAGGTATACCTTGTTAATATAGGTAACGACTTGTGGGTGAATTCAATCAGAAACTTGCAAGAAAAAAAAATGAGAAATAAAAAGTCAAGATTTTGAAGCTCTTGGACCCGAAGTTATTTGTACGCCAAAAATACAAGAGCTGGAGATCTTGCTAACTCTTCAAAAAGGTATCACTCAAACTTTGAGATTCAATCTGCGATAAGAGAGATATTGAATTGACGACTTGAATATTGTTCAAAACAAGGTGTTCATGGAAGCAATATTGAGAATCATTCCTAGTAGGCCTTTGTCAATAGAATTTTACTGTTCTTTTCATTTACTCCTTTTCTTAGTTGCTTTCATTTACAATTTTCATTTAATGTTTTACGTTCACAAACGACCTCTAGTTGATATGAAAATCATACACAATTGGATCCAAGAACTTTTATGAATATGCAAACCCCGAAATCACAAATGCCCTAAGATGATTTCAATCCATCCAATGATTCAACTTATCACACTAGAATAGCTAAATTAGTTCTTCATTTTCTTAATAAAAAAAACACATGCAAACATTCTTAAATAATGACATGAAATACCTAAATTAAAGAAAATGGTAAATAAACACAATGTTTAAGCATGGAACACAAACAAATAAGCCACAACCAACATCAAAGGAAGTCATCCATAGCACAAACATTTATGCAATGCAATACACGAATTCCATAGACTATGAAAAGTGTCTCAACCCAACTCAACCCGTCAATGTATTAGTAACCTTTTCTAAGGGTTGCAGGTTTGAATTCCCACCCCGAACAAAAACTAACTTAAAAATAAGAAAAAGAAATGTAAGAAAGAGGATATGTTGACAAGATAGAATGGCCATTTATTAATGAAGTTTGACAATGGGCAGCAAAATTCCAAGAAGTCCATAGATTAAAAATGAAAAGTGTCTCGCCCATAGCCAAGCAGCCATCAATCATTTCATTCATCGGCTGAGGAAATCTCAACAAAGAAAATTTGCAGAATTTTGTGCCAAAAACTCGAGACACTACCTTTTTTTTCAAGACCCAAAAAAAGACCAAAGTCTCTGCAGATTGATGATGATGGGATTCTATTGTACACAGCCAAAATGTGAAAAGAATAGAGTTACAATGGAAAACAAAAAGCCGAGTTTCGACTTTGTTACCTCTTTTCCTTTGGCCTCTCTGTTTTCAGCAGGTCCATGATGATGATCTCTTGATCAGTGGTTTCATTTGCCTGTCCTCTTCAAGTGAAATCATCCCCAAATGTGATGGATCTTCCAACATCATCTTTGCAACTAAGTATCCTGCTATCGACCATGTCTGGTATTTCCTTGCTTGTTTTCCGATGTATCTTCCTAACTTTCCATCATAGTATTCAGGCCAACTATCCTTCAGCAAACGACTCTCGGCAAGCTCGATGGCTCTTCTAGCAATCTGCGGTCGTCCGGTTTTAATGCAAGCGGCTGTTAGCAGCCATAGTAGCACTGCATTCAGAGCAAGGAGAAACATATCAGTATAAAAATGAGATTAACAACTGAACTCCGTGATCTTTTACTGCATTACACAATGCAGTAATGGTAAATGGTAATCCTAACCTACCATGTCTCATGAATCGACTCGACTACATTGAGTGACGAAAATATCCATCTGTATAATTTTGTGCTAGATATAGAATGAGAAGCTAAGCCATCTTCAGATGCTATAAAAATTCTAATCATTATTATTCTTTCCTTTCTACTCGATACCACTTGTTACAATCGCACTTTTCTAGGCAGCGGACTTTGTGATTATGCAGCACTCACTTCTCAGTAGCAAGTAAGTTAAGCCAATTTAAGCAACGTATGCTCAAACCTCTGACCTCAATTTGAGAAGAAGGTTTTAAAAAACGGGCAGAGAGATTTTGAAAGGGGTTTGAAAGCAAGATTGAGAGATTTTGAAAGTAATGTTATATGGCATACAAGCAAAGGCAATACAACGGCTTATGTAGCATATAACTTTTCCAAGTAGGGAGAATTACTCAAGTGTCCAAAAAAAATTTAGAGATACTTGTGGCCCTCCAATCTTACAGTTCGAAGATGCATCAAAGATCAAGGATATTTCCCTACAAGACAATCTAATAAAGATTCTGAAGTTTGGAAAATGTTATCCATCTCCAGCTATATCTACATCTTGACTCTAACTTGACATTCCGACAATATCCTAGCTCTTTTCGAGATCATACTTGATACACCTTAATGTGATTTAACACTAATTAAATTGCTTTCTTGTAGACTCCTAGCAGGAGTACTAGAGTTGGGAATGTAACTTTTCAATTTACGGATGAGAAGTGTTTCTAGATTCGAAAAGGAATAAAGAAATGCATTGATGACTAATGAGAAAATTTCTCAGATTTTTAGTGTTGTTCTATGATCGAAGGGGTGCTTCTAAACCCTCTATTTCGTTATGGGCGTCGGTTTTTTGGCTGGAGATAACAACAGGATCATTAGAGGGGTTGAGAGATTTGGTGATAAGATATGGGAGTTGGTTAGGTTTAACTTTTCGTTATAGGGATCCATTAATCAGGTTCAACTTTTCTTTCATAAATAAAAGTTCGGCAATAAATAATTAAAAAAGGAAAATAAACTAATGAGAAATATGAATGTCTCTTTATCAACTGAAATGGCACTTCTTTATCTCTAATCGATGATAATCTTGGCCTAGGAAACTACTCAAGATAACGAAATAATGTCCTGACATCAAAATATGATTTTGATCCTGGTGCCCTAAAGGTGTAAGATTATCGAAAGGCCTGCAAGATAAAGGTAACCTTTGGATGGTAGACTACACTACAATTAAAGTTCTCGGTTAACTATATAATATGGGAATTGTAGCCCCAAAAATAACTAAAAGAACAGAGATAGTCTTTCATCATCCACAAGAAAGATGGGGATTGGGGCGGCTCATTATATTTTACACCTCAATAAAAACGCAATAACAGACAATAACTAAAGAAAAGAAAATAATGCTGGAAATTTGGAATCACAGTTGGTACCTTAACTTCACAAGGAATCCTCATGGTTAACTTGATGTGTGGTCTAATGTAATAGTTTTGAGGGCTACATTCTTTATTCTCAGCATGATAAGCATGAAGATTGGAGAATGCCAATCTGTATTCATAACACTAAATTCTTCCAATAAATCTTATTAATGTTTTATGAAAACTGGAAAGAAAGAAACTTCGGTTCTCTGTTAGTTAATAGACAATGACTGTGGCCGCCATCAACTCATCTAGCAGGTCTAAAAAAATTGACATTCGTGTAAAAAGAATACAAAATATGAGATGAAAAAGTTCATCATGTTGAAACTCTTCACTAGCTATTTCTCATAGTTACTATTTCAGTTCATGGAAACACAGATTTTGTTCTGAGAGAGATAGAAAGGGGAGAGACGAAATTCTGAGAGTAGAGAACAGGAGAGTTGATTTGGGGAGGCAGAGAGAAAGAGACACTAAGTGAGAGAAGATTTGATAGGTAGACAGAGAGTCTGCTGGGAATGACACTTAAAAATCTTTTTTCTTAAAGTCAATAAAAAAAGATCCAAACTGATAGAGAGCTACTTCAGACAGTCCAAAAGATTAAGGAAAAAAGATAAAGCAAGTGAGCTCATTCTCTTTATTTTCTTTTTTCTGTTAGCCCTACGATTTTTAGAAGATAAGTATCATCGTGAGCACATGCTTCATGCCTCAAAATACTTTATAAGAACATACCTAAGTGCTTGTCTGAGCAAGGTTCTCTCATGGGGAGGCAGCTAGCTGCATATTTCTTAAAACTGGACTTTCAACATGTTTATGAGTGATTTTATATGATTAAAATCACTTTCTTCAGGATTCAAATCACTCCGAAACGTGTTCAGTTTTATACTTCTAAACGTGATTTTCATATGAGCAAAATTGATTTTAAAGAATAGAAAGTATGCTTTATATAATTACAAAAAGTGATTTTGATTACTTACCAAACTTATATAATTACAAAAAGTGATTTTGATTACTTACCAACCTACCATTGTTTAAATTTTCAAAAAGTAGTTGTCTGATACTTTTTTTTGTTTTATCAATACTTTTTTTTGTTTTATCAACTAAGATTCCACCCATACTACTAGCTGATGGGTACTAGCTAAAAGCTAAAATCTTAGTGTATAAGCTTAAGGTTTGAATCCTCGAAGGGAAGAAAAAAACAGTTCCTTATACTGCCTTCTTGAGGTTTAGAATGCCAATATCATCAATAAAGTTGATGGCTAGCAAATCAAATTGCATGAAAGGCACTGATGCCCGTTCTAATTTAAGTAAACAGTGTCTGCAGCAGGTTACTTTTTATACCAAAAGCTATCATTTTTAGGATGAGAATACCTAAAGCTATTATTAGAAGACTCTTCTAAATTAATGATAAATAACAATCTAAACTTTATTATAACATGAAGAGATAAATGAATGAATGAACAGACAGACCTGGCCAAGATCCACCATTATGGTAGCTCCACCTGGTATTCTTGGGATCACAACCAGTAGTAATTCGCCACTCATGACTTTCTATAGCAGGATATGATATTTTCAAAGGCATTTCTCCAACCAGCTCCTCCCAGCGTGCTTCAATAAGATCCATAATAGCCATTGATTGCTCAGGGGTGGCAAGAGATGATAGAATTGCAACACAATTACCTAGAGTAAACCATCTGAAATCCATTCTTGCAGGACTAACGTTACCAACAAAATACCCGCCACGTGTGGGCATAAAATCAAACACCCAATCTGGGATAGAATCAGGGATGACGTTAAACTTATTTACAGCTGTATGTGAATATTCTTCGGTTTTGTAACGGTAGATGTCATTTAGTTGCTGGAAATCAAGCCAGAAATAACTCCTCATGTGATAACTTAAAGCATGCAGACGCTTCACAATACGCTCTATGCACTCTTTTCCTTCAGCATCATGTTTTAGCATAGCCAGAGCACATCTCAAGGCCATAAAGAAAAGGGCTTGAATTTCTATAGGATAACCATATATACCCTGGAGAAAAATTATCAAGTTAAAATATATAGATAAGGTAAATATTTCTCAGAAAGATCATGAGAAGTTCTTTAAATTTGAACATCATAGTTGCGTCCAAATAGGCAGTTATGAAAAGTTTATCTGTTGCTTTTAACATCTGAAAATAAAATACGAGAAGGTTGCAAAAAGATTGATATTCTAGCTATAACTGTTGTGAACCAAACTTTCATTGGTTGTTGAGGAGGATGTTTTATACTTCCCTTCTTTGTTTTATTTATCAGAACATTTTCAACAGCAACATGATAATATCATGGATCAAGGAAATTTACAAAAGAAGGGGAGAAAGGTCAACTCCAGGGCAAAAGGAGTCACAAGAAGAAAGCCCCCAATAAGTCAAAATATTATTTATGGATAAGTTACAAAAAGGTAACTACTTTTGTAACTATGCACCAAATAAGGACAATATTGTTTCTAATCCAAAACACAAAAAGATGCATATTGCGATTGAATATTTTTTTCAAAAAAAAAAAAAAAAAAA